CCCCGCCCCCAGGCTGGGCCCCCAGGAGGGCGGCCCGGCGGTGCAGGGAGGACGAGGGCCAGAGGCGGAGCCCGAGGCTGCTGGTCCCGGCCCGGCTGCCGGAGTCACACACGCCAGGACCACGGCTGGGTAGTGCAAAACAATAAATTTTTATTTGTTCACAGTTAAACACAAGCAACTGCCTTGACATTTCAGAACGTTCTGAGGACAGCAAACCTCCCTGATTCCCATCTCCATTCACTAGGACTGTGCCATCTCCCGCCGCTGGCGTCTCTGGCGCCTCGGGGACTGTTTGACGTGCTTTTAAGATCGAGGTGGGCAGCTTTAGGCCTTTTGACAAGACTTTCTGAAGTTTAACAAAAAGCAGTCTTTTTAAAAAAATCTGGTTGCACTGATGGGACCCCCTAAGCTGCGAGTTAGCCACATGGGGCTGATCATGATTGATATAAAACTAGATTATATCTTAGCAAAATCTGTTCCTCAGTAATATATTTATGGTCCAGAGAAGGCGTCCGGAAAGTGACCACTGATTCTTGCTAGTGCAAATGCCCGGCTGCCTCCTGGACACGTGGGAGTAGCCGCTGCGTAGGGGAGCCACGCGCTCGGGCCCAGCCCTGTGTGGACGGGGAGGGGACAGCGGGCTGCGGTCTCCAGCTCTCCGCTGAAGAGGGTCTATCCTGGGTCTACGTCCCCAGGGGACGCGCGACCCTGTGCACAGGAGGGGACAGAGCCCAGCAGGTGCGGGCGGCCCGGGCTGCAGCTGCTCTCGGGGCCGGTGGGCGTGCAGACAGCCGCACAAGGCTCGCGGGCAGGGCCAAGCCGGCGTGCCCACGCGTCGAGTCGGGGTGCGCCCTCCGGTCCTTCCCCAGGCTTGGCCCGGCCCTGCCCCGCCTGCAGCCGCCTCGGTGCGGTCCTCAGGGCAGACCGTGGCCAGGTCCTCCTGCTTGTCCTTGGGTTGTTTCTGGCTCTGCGTGGTATGTCCTTGCCTGGGGGAGCGTCACGTTGGCTGGTACAACACGTGTGTCGTGCTCCCCACACAGATGCCCCCACTTCCAGTCCCAGCTGTGAGGGTTCCGCGAAGGACGCTCTGGTCACCCACACGACTTGATTCACCCTCGTCTACCCCACCGCTACAGAGCCATCTTTTTGACCAAAACACTGGACACCACAATTGCCTGTCCCAGGGCCAGCCGGAGTGCGGATGGTGGTTGTGGCCCAGGGCCTGCCCAGCGGCACTGCTGGCCTTCAGCCACGGGGCACAGGGCCGGCCTCCCTCACTGGCAGGACTTCCAGGACCCTTTCCTGGGGCTGCGTCCGCCGCTCGGAGCCACCCGGCTGCCCGCACACAGCGCAGCGGCTCACACAGCGCGTCCCCCGCCACACTCGGCACCGACGGGAGCCACTGGCCACTGACACCAAGCACCTGGCCAGGTGCCGCCTCCCAGGGCCACTCAGCCCTCTCCCACCCAGCGAACAGCTGCTCTCTCCCCCTCCCCTGGGGCACCCGTCTTATTTGTGACCAGATTTCTCCTCCAGTCCCACAACTTTACAGACTCCACCGCAGGACCCCAAAAGCTTTTTAACGCCCCTAAGAGGCCTGTTGGCTGGAGACACGCCCGCTCGGCTTCCTGCCGCAGGCCAGAGCCTCGTCCCCTCTCAGGGACCAGGCTGCACCCCCACACGGTAGTGCTCCTTTTAAAGTTAACCCCGAGCTGCCCAAGCAGGTGCCAGGCCTCTGCTGACCCGGCCAGTGTCCACGGGACTGGAGGGGCACCCACCCGTTAGGCTCGGACCGGCCCACACCTTCTGCCTCTTCCAGGGTCTTCCTACTTGCACCTCTGCGTCCTTAAAAGCTCACCAGCAGCAGGCTACAGGACCCCACTCTCACCGGCCTAGCCTTTCCGTGCAGGCCCACCCTGTCGTCTGACCGGAGCCCTCTGCAACAGGAACGCTGGCGTTCTCAGGTGGGGCCGTGTCAGCAGTGTCAGGCCCAGCCCCAGCCTGGGCTGAGCGGACCCCACACCCTCCGGACCCCAGAGGAAGCTGGGCTGCACATTCAGGGTAGCTTGTGGTGGCGAGGCTGCCGGCAGACACCAGGGAGGGGAGGCCGAGGCCTGAGCGGAGCCCCGCCAGCGGGGTAGGGGCACTTCGGGCCACGGCGGGCATTGCTCAGCAGCACAGACCCCTGCGCTGGGGTGGGGAGCACGAAGGCCAACTTCCATAGCTACCCCGTCATGCCTTTGCCTCTCTGAATTTGTCCGTGTTTCTTTGCTGAAACTAAACTAACTCGGCAGGAGACCAGAGCATGTGCAAGTCCGAGCTTCCTTTGGCTAAGGCTGCTCAGGCTGGGGCGCGGCCCTGGTGCGCTGCTGTCCCCTGGGTCGGGGCCTGCCCGCGCGGAGCTCGTACCATCACTGCCCCCACCCCGCCCCGGCGGCCCCGCGCTGCTCACTGAAAAGACAGCGAGGACGGTCAGGAGCCGGCGCCTCCCTACCATCTCCGGCCGCGGCCTGTGTCCGGCATGTACCTCAAGCTGCGGGCTGAGGCGAGGTGCTCTGTGCGCCCAGTTCCGCCAGGTGTCGCCCCGCGAGTGTGCGAGTGCAGCGGGCCTGCGGCAGGCACCTCAGCGCCCCAGCCCCGGCTCACGGCCCCCACGCCAGCACAGCTAACGGGGGAAGGCGCCACGTGGGCCCTGAAGTCAGCTCTGGGGTGGGCCGGCCCTCAGCCTGGGGCGAGGGGTCCAGCAGCTGAGGGAGACGGGAACTCTTTGGGCCTTCGGGGTTATTCTCTGCAACAAAGACGCTGACACAGACGTGAGGCCTTGGAACCCAGGGGCAGGCTGAGGGCAAGAGTCTGACCCCAGCTCCGCCACGCGGCCCCAAGGGCACGCGGCTGCTGCTGGGGCGCCGGCCTCCCCTCTTGCCCGGAGCAGGTCTGACCACCCACACCAGGCCCTGGGTGGCGCAGAGCTGGCTCCCCAACAAACACCAATAAATAAGAGGGACTGGGGCAGGAGAGGGAGTGGCAGAGGGGACATGGCCACCATGGGGCCAAGCCCAGGCCCTCAGACAACTCATGTTCGCACACACGGAACTTTCTAGAAGCCTCTCAGAACCACCAAAAGAACGGAAGGCTGCACAAAGTGCTGTCTTTCTAGGTCTGCTGCTTTAGCTGCTGAACTTCAGGACCACAAAGCAGTGAAAACATCTCCATCGCAGTTTCTGGGGAAGGTGGTCAGTGTTCATGGACGTCCTCCAGGAGCGGGACAAACCGGACTTACCTGCGACGCACCCAACTGCTGGGGCCGACCCCGGTATGGAGCCTCAGGAGAGGAGAGAGTGGCGCGTCAGATACACAGACTCACTCTGGCC